GCCGGCCGCGGAGGCGGCGCCCGGCGAGTCGCAGTGTCCGGGCCGTGACCGCGGCCGTCCCCTGCGCTGGCGGAAGAGCAGCTCGCTAAGGGGAACACGGCTGCCAATAGGAACGTTAAGTAAATCCGACGGAGCCCAGCATTAGAAACCCGCAAGATGGAAAGGACTGATACAAAAGTCTAGCCTTCCCTCCAAGCTTCACTAGGGCTGTGAAGCATTTGCTCTTTCCAGTGCAGGACACAACCTACTCGCTCCGTACTCCCTCTCCCCCCTGCCCCCAAACAGGAGAAGTCCAGGCTCCACTGCACTTTGGGTCCTGGCACTCCAAGGAGGACACCTGACTCCTACCACCACTGTCAAGCACACACCTTTGCGCCCACTATAACGACCCCAGAGAGAACCATCATAGCACTCTCCTTTTTGCCTCTGTATCAGTCAGAATACTATGGATTCCAACACCATGAAACGAATATAATAATATAAGGCAGTTTCTCCCACAGCCTGGTCCAAGGGACACCCTGCTATCCCAATTCCCCATATGACAACCCTGTCCTTCCTGGCACTGCCAAGCTTAGAGCACAGCATTAAGCGGTTTCTCCCTAACCCCAAGCGATCTCTGCTGCACAGCTCACTGCACTGCCAGAGCTGCCCTCGGCCATGCTCCCGCAGTGCAGCAGGAAATGGGAAGAGTGAGCAATGGCCCAGGGATACTAACAATCTTTCCAAGTATTCCCTTTCACTGAACCAGCCCTTCCATGCACATTAAGGCCTAGAGGAAACTGGCTGCTCCCCCTTCCACCAGTGAAAGGCTGGTGCTAAGCACAGCTGCCCAGAGACCGTCCCACAGAGGGGCTTGGGAGCAGCATGCACTGTCCTTCCAAGGCAGCAGGGAGCTGCTCTAGCATGATAAACCAACCGGTAGAACAAGTCTGCATAGAACTCAGAATACAGCTCTGCTGCGTATTCCACATCAACCTTTTTTTGGACCATCAAAAAAATCATACGCAAACCACTCAGCCCGTGCTCTCTCCCTCCTGCTCCCCAAGGGAAGCAGGAACGGTCATCAATGGTCACGGCCGCTGCCAAGGCAGCACCGCCACCCGCTTCGCGCTCAGGAGAGAGCACCGCGCCTCCTCCTCGTGGCTTGCGAGACCGGACACTTTCGATCACACTCCTCTAGTTACCAACTACAGAAATGATCCCTGAAAGTATAGTCCTGCCCA